AAAAAAAACCCATTTGGATAACATATGGACTAAGAATAATCATGAAAGGATCAAACATTCCCATAATTCACTCATCTTTTTAGTAAATGGGATACGTAAAAAGCTAACCTAGTCACTGGATTTTTTAAGAGCTTTGTCTCCATAAACCGCATTTGGGCCTAAGACTGTTTCTGCTGCCAAATTCCCTAGTTTGCAAAAAACTTGAGTCTGCCCAGTGTTCAAACCTGGATATCGCAATGAGCACTGGCAGCATGGCAGCACACTACTGTGCCTCGACCTGTTCCAGTTCGCTCCCCCCACTTCTGTCACTTTAACAGGAACCACAGTTATCTCAATACAAGTAAATTTTGGTAACTTTTTATCCTTCCTTGTATAGTAACCACAAACCAAATAAATATGTGACATTCAAAATTTGATCATACACAACAATACAGTAGCCATGCCATAAAGCCTGCAAATTATAATGCATATCCCTGTTTCCAGAGACACCCTAAATGCAAAAGGAAAATTATGATTCTATAAAGGTTTGTGATAAATTTAATTATACAGTATTCTGGAAATTGCATTTGCTTTCATCACTGGGTACAGGCGAGCAGAATGTTCCTACTCAGTTGGGCCCATGAGAAGAAGCTGCACCTGATGACGGATGTGCTTCTAACAGGCCCAACTGAGTAGGACCTGATGAAAAAAATCAGGCTTCTCAAACGTGCATTTTAAACATATTAAAAAATTACAAATTAGTATTCAACCTTTCAGATACTTTAGAAGTATTAGTAAAGATCATGTGCAACTCAGTAAGGCACCTGTAAATACTAGTTAAAACACATCTGAGTACCAAGGCACTAGGAACTGATTTAACTGAAAATTAATGTTGACTCATGAGCTTTATCTGAAGCAGGGAAGTCTTAGCCCTCCAAAGACACTTGTTACCATGTGCCCACACAAAGATTCTAACTGTCCACCTGCCAATTTACACAAAAACTGGATTTTGCACTTACTACATTCAAAACAGAACTTGAAGAGAACAAACAACAGTCACTGTTTTTCAAATCTTTCAAGCTTTGACAAACATTTCTCTGCATCTGAGGGACATCTGTAGGACAAAACAGCATTTACATATGAAATAAATTCCAACAGACAATCTCTTTGTGGGGCCATCACAAGGCAGACAATGAACTCTAGCCCATCAGGTGACCAACAACCCACTATGTCTATATTATGACATTACCTGCTTTGTTAGAACATAGTATGCATATGCAGCCATTGCTGTGCCATACGTAACGAAGTATGTGACAGGCTCCATGATATCCCACGAGTATTCTCACCAAGTGAGACGAGCCAGGATACCAAACTGCACAGACATCAGGCCTAGGCCCACCCATGTGAGGATAGTGGTACGTCGCTCTGCTACGGTCTCCAATTCTTGTCGCTTCTGTGATGCAGGCAAAGAACAGGACAAGAGTCAGATGCAGATACAAAACTGTTTCCTTGTTTCAGTGCATACGTACTTTTAACAGCCTAAGAGTACGCTCACTATTTCAGGAAGTTTCAAATTCAAATAAAGTGTACCATTAAATACATGTACTCTGTGACTTATATGTGAAGAAATGTTTTTATTCAATATTTCAGAAAAGTGTGCATCACAATTCTGCTGTAGTAACGACTCATCTAGAAATAAATGCAGTTGGACCAATATGTTCACATCTCACAGCAAGAATGAAGGAGTAAATTAAGCTGGACAGATAGCCTCTCGCCCCCCCCCAAAAAAAACTTAAAAATGTAAACAATTTAAAATATATATGGTAACAATAGTACTTCATCAAAATTATTCCCACAAAAAATAAAGGGAAAATTAAATTAGGATCTTTGCCTTCTCATCTCTGAGAAAGCCTAAAGATTAATATCCACAAACTGCTAATTGAATATACCTTTCAGCAAAATGGGGATATCTCCATACTCCACAATTTGTGGTAAAACATCCCAAAATTTGTATTTCTGTTACCTTAAAGACTTTAATATGATCTGTATGGGCACCCTAGGCAGGAAGCGTTTGTTAAGGGATGACTGAAGAGTTACTGCCACAGATAGTGAACTGCATCTATCTGGACCCAAGATACTATGAGCTGTTTGCACCACTGAAAACGCTTCTTTTGGGCCATCATTTCAAACATGATTTTGAGGTACTTGAAACAATTCTTCCACAGAGGCATCAATAAACTGGTGTGCTGACGGGATGTGGCAGAGCACAGAGTGATACTGTGGAGAACTGACTTTAGTGTTGACTACATTCCTATGTATGATCTGAGAGAAGTAAATTTATGAAACAAACTTTTTGAACTTCCCTCTTGGCAGTGGTGTTATTTTGGCATTTGACATATGTAGTGAATAGGACACCTATTCTAGCATTCATAACCTATTTCTGCTGCCAGTGTGCTCTAAGCCAGAAAGCTAGCTGAATTTTTCCATTATTTCTGATCCAATTACCATCATGTCTTAGGTCATATTTCTGTACCTTTATGTTTCTGCTATTAAACTTCCATTCTGGTTACATCGATGGCTTGCACTTTTCTGAAGAACCACTACTAACATTCTGATCACAAGAGATCACTGTAGGGCGCGGTGCAAGGGGCGAGAAGGCCCACCCCTTATACAAATCATACATTCAACCTTCTGATCACTCGCATCATTCACGTTCATACATCTTGCATGTAAACCGTGCAAGTGTGAAAACCTTACTTCAAGATGCCAGTAATGCAATTGCCTCAGGTGACACCGTGTGTTTAAGAAAACTGTATGTACGCTTCAGTATGGAAACTGGGACAGCTCAGTCAGTATACACAGAGGCTGGACAACAAAGGGTTTGTGGTTCGACTGCCAGCAATGCCAGTAGATTTTGTGTTGTCCACAGAGTCCAGACTGACTCCACTCCTCACCCACCCTCCTATCAATGGGTACTGTGGCTCTTTCCCCGCAAGTAAAGCGGCTGGGGCATGAAACTGACCTCTCACCTCTATCTAGTACTGAGGTCAAGATTACGTTGATCTGGGCATCCGGCTCCCATACTCAGACATTTTCATGACATTCTAATTAACTGTACACCGGGGAAAATTTATGCTTCAGAGGCTTCAGTATTACTGGAAGCAACGTCCTCTGACTTGCACCAAAGGAGACCTCTACACATGGCCCTGAACTTTACTTGTTGGAACCACAAGCTGAGGGGAATATTTGCACCTCCGGTGATGCAACTGACGAATGAAGAAACTGGATAATGAGCAACTTCACAGTTCTTCACATATTGTTACAGTGGTTGGGGCATGCTTGGGGAAAATATAAATGCATATAGAATTTCACTTTGAAAACCTGACCTATGCAAGGACAGGATAATAAGAATGGATCTTAATGAATGAACATATGTATGTATACGAGGGGGGACCCAAAAATAACCGGAATTTATTTTTGTTATTTTTTATTTTTGCATTTTTATTGAACTGTATATTAGTCCCCTTCAAAGTATTGTCCATGTGCATTAATGCACTTGTCCTAACGCTTTTGCCACTGCTCAAAACAGTGCTGGAATTCTTGAGGCTGGATACTGTTCAAAGCCTTTAGCGTGTTTTCTTTGACTTCATCCACATCACGGAATCGCTTTCCTTTCAGACTTCTCTTCATCCGTGGAAACAAAAAAAAGTCTGACGGAGCGAGGTCAGTGAGTAAGGTGGATGAGGCACAATCACCATGTTGTTGCTTGTCAAAAACTGTCGGACCGTCAAAGCTGTGTGGGCTGGAGCATTGTCGTGGTGAAGCAACCAGTTCCCATTTCTCCACATTTTGGACCGTTCTTGTCGCACACTCTCTCGTAATCTTCGTAACACATCCAGGTAAAAATGTTGGTTCACTGTTTGTCCTGGCGGAACGAACTCTTTGTGGAAAATGCCATTCACAGAAAAAAAAAACAAATCAACATTGTTTTCACATTGGATCGCACTTGACGCACTTTCTTTGGTCGTGGTGAAGTTGGAGTTTTCCACTGGCTTGATGATTTCTTT